TCTGCTGGCATGTTGTTTTCCTCTAGTTTCCTAGTTATAATTGAGATGCAGTCTTCAACAGGTAGGCATGTAAATAGAGACTGAACATCAAAACTGACCATAGTTTCATTGTCAGTAAGACATAGGTCTTTTATCTCACTGACAAAATGGTATGAATCCTTAGTGTGTGCTCTTGTATGTCCTCTGAGTGGTGATAGTACTTTTGCTAAGTGTTGAGCCAATCTGTAAGTTGGCGAATCGATCTGACTCACTATTGGACGTAATGGAGCGTTCGGTTTGTGTATTTTTGGTAACCCATACAACTTCGGTGGTTTGGCACACGTACGTATTATCGAATTTACGTCTAGATTCAGTTTCTCGGAGTATTTCTTTATTAGATCGCGTTGTTTTAAGCGTATTAGTTGTAGGGTCTGTTTTGACCTTTACGTACGTACTTTCATCCGATAAAAGTTGTTGTATTTTAAAATTGTAATCCGACGTATCCATTATAACCGTAGCATTACCTTTATCTGCGCGGAGAATCGTAAGATCTGGTCTGTTGCGTAAGTTTTTCAATGCAGTAAATTCATCTTTGGGAAGATTTAATTTCGGCGCTGAGCTTCGACGTAACAAGGACGAAATGTCTTGACGTATAGCCTCTAAATCTTCATTACCAATATTATTTTTATACAGACAGTCCTCAACACTACAGATAATGTTTTCATACGGAATTTTTTGCGGTGTTATAGCGAAATTCATACCTTTGGCCAAAACATTTATTGTCGCGTCGTCCAGAGATTGTTTTGACAGGTATAGACCGCACGTTGTTTATTTTTTTTTTTTTTATTTATTTATTTGATAATAATTTGACAATATTTAAATTGATATTTTACGGCATAAACATAAGCTATACAGCTTTACCGTATACCGATGCCATCAACAAACATATCATAATAATTGTTATTCGTAATAATTATGTCATACATCATAATGTTGTGATGCACGCATTGAACCGCGCTCCCCGTACAGTCAAGAAACCGGTTTGTTCTCGGGTCTTAGTGCATTCTTTGCCTACCTGGCTTGACGCGTCGAGTTCGCATATACAGGCTGTTCATATACTTTGATACTAATTAATGATATTAAAGATAAACTTATTTCATATTATTGATAGAGTTGTAGAATATTAATGTGTAACTTATAATACAAATTTTTATTTTTATTTTACAATTCTTTTTTATTATAGGTTACTTAAGAAATAATTCTTTAATATATTTTTGATGTTGCGTTGATTAATTTGTTCTTTTAGTTGTGATGGAAGTTTGTTTATGATATCGGGAATCATGTATTCTAACGTTCGTTTTCCATATAGATTTATGAATTTTGGTAAAGCTAAGTTTGGCGTCTTTGACTTTCGTGTGTTAAAATTGTATTGTATTGGAATTGGTAGATTTTTATTAAAAAAAATTTCAATAAGTAATATATACTTTACTTTATTATGTACCGGTAATATTTTACAAAAATCAAAGATATTATGTTGTTGGTCTTTAAATTTGTTCATGACAGTTTTTGGTAGTAAGGTTTTTAAAATACGGAGTTGTAAGGTGTAAATACGGTCTAGGTGTGTTTTATAGGTCCTACCATAGCTAGAAAGACCATACGATATTATGGATTCTGCTAATGAGATATATAATTGTATTCTTATATTGAATGATATTTTGTATTTTATTAAGGAGAATTTGGCTAGAATTCCTCGAAGTCTATCGCATACATGGTCAATATGCCCTTTCCAGCTAAGGTGACTATCAATGATAAGCCCAAGGTAGGTATGTTGTTCCACTAAATCAATATTGAAACAGCTGCAGGACACGCTTGTAGTGTGTAAGCACTGGTGGCTATGAGCTATTAGTTTGGGTATATTGTCACTTCTGTTTTTGGTACTACTGATGTACATAACTTTAGTTTTATTAAAATTAATTACTAGGCCCATGTCATGCGACCATTTGGTTAACACGTTAAAGTCATCTTGCAGTTGACTCATGGTGTGATTGATATTTTTCCCAGCTATAAATAAACATGTGTCATCTGCGTATTGATATATTTCACAATGTTTCAATGTGTTTATTAAGTTATTAACATATGTGAGATAGTGTAACGGGCCCAACACTGATCCTTGAGCCGTACCCAAAGTTACATTTACAGTTTTGCTTATTGCATCTTTTACTTTTACTACAAACTTCCTGTTTGCAAGGTAATCCTTGCACCAATTTAATAAAGGTCCTCTAATCCCACTATCATGCAAACTATTTATAAGCTTATCATGCCTGAGTGTGTCAAAAGCTTTACTGTAGTCGATGAATACTACAAATATGTGTTTCTTTTCGTTTAGATGTTTGTATATACTATTAGTAAATGATGTTAACAACTGTGATGTAATCTTATGAGGCTGAAACCCATATTGTTTTTCTTGTAGTATTTTGTTGTTGTCATAAAACTCATAAATTTGTTTACAAATATATTTTTCAACAATTTTATCAATTGTCGGAAGAATAGTTATTGGCCTATAGTTTTCGTATTCCGATGTTCCACCTTTTTTGTATATCGGTCTGACAATACCGATTTTCAATTCATTGGGATAGTTACTCATCTTAATGCTTGCATTGATGAGATTAGCAATGGCTATATTAATTTTTTTGCAAATATTTTTTATATCAATGGCTCTAATGCCATTGATATAAAAACTCTATTACTCGCGTCTGTTGTCAATGATTGCGTTCCGTTATTACGTTGACATTGGCGTTGGATATTTGATTTGGTTGTTAGTTTTTGGTATTTCTCTATATGTTTATTTTTGCATGCATTGTATTTAGTTGTTTCACGTTTGTCTAAAGTTTCCATGCAATTCTTATAATCAAATGTCGATAAAACTGTCTTTAGATCACTGGACGATTTGTCTATGGTTTTATTAATGAAACATAGATCGGTACGTTTTTGCTGAATCACCGTTATTAACAATTTTTTGCTTGCCTGATTTAAGATCTTAGCGCTTCCTCGAATGTCTTTTTTAGTAGATATCTTGACACACGTAGGAATGAGATTATGGTCTCTGCATCTCTTCAAGAAGTTTAAAGCTGTTATGTATCTTGCGCGCTTGGTTTTGAGATCTTCTAGTCGGCGTATTTTATTTGCTATTTCCAGTCCGTACTGGTTTACATAATGATTTCTTATATTTACGCGAACACTACACATTGAATAAAACTATTTTTACGGATTTTATCGCGTTTAATTAACTTATTTTATATTCCCGACGTTTCGGTTGCTTTCCAGCAACCGTGGTCACGGGGGACTGAGGTGATTGACGTCCCAATGTCAAAGTTAACCCGGAGTACCTTCAGCTTTTTAATTATTAATTTTGGTCCGATCTACGCAGAATGAACTGTGTCTTGAAGTCTTGCAGTGGTATGCTTGGGTTTAGTTTTAATTTTATGAATTACAGGATCCCAAGCAGGTAGTATCTGTTATGATCATATCCTAGACGGCCCCCGCCATTACATTAGATTTGATAAACCACAAGTCCTCGCGAAAGAACATCGATTCCTGCCAAGGATGATACGTGAGGCTATTGAAATTAAAAAACATCCTAATTTCAATAGAGAGGGAGGCTGGGTACTACCACCTGCTTGGGATCCTGTAATTCATAAAATTAAAACTAAACCCAAGCATACCACTGCAAGACTTCAAGACACAGTTAGTTCATTCTGCGTAGATCGGACCAAAATTAATAATTAAAAAGCTGAAGGTACTCCGGGTTAACTTTGACATTGGGACGTCAATCACCTCAGTCCCCCGTGACCACGGTTGCTGGAAAGCAACCGAAACGTCGGGAATATAAAATAAGTTAATTAAACGCGATAAAATCCGTAAAAATAGTTTTATTCAATATATTTTTTTACTAAAAACTTTTGATTTTGATCCTTAATTACTCATTAAGGTTATAACATAACGGTAAATTAAAATAAAGTTTGTTAACTAATTAATTCATTCAAAACATAATTGAAAAATTAAGTGTTTCGAGGCGCGATATTCAAGTACTACATAAGTACTTGAATATCGCGCCTCGAAACACTTGAAGATCGGTTTTTTAATCGCATAGCACTCGGGTCAGCTCGGGAGTCGGGACATAATGTTCTGTTCCTCTATCGCTCGGGGAATCCCCGTGTTTCATTTCGTTCGTCAAGTCCTATCACCTTGGAATTAGTTTGCTTGCAGTATGTTTACAAACAAAATAGTTATAAAATCGTTACTGTACGGATCTTTAAATTTTATTGAATATTACGTTCTTATAGTATTTAAATTATTGAGTGATCTGGAAAAGTGTAAATTATAGTATTTGAAGTATTGAGTAAGTCGAAAACGTGTAAAAAAACTGTGTGATACTTAAAAATTATTTCTGACTGTTTGTGCGAAACAAAACAAGGTTTACGAAATGAGTTCGCGTGATCGTGATGTCGGTAGAAAATTTGAGTCAGGTAGTTCAAAAAGGAAACGAGCTGTCAAAAGAAAGCAGGTAAAAGAAAATCTACGTGGATATTTATATAAATATATAAAAATATATGGTCCTCTACAAAACATTTATTGACTGAAAGTGACTCTAATCCTGATCCAGCTGAAAACATTCCTTCCACATCATCATGGGTGCCGCCGCCGACAATAAGTAAAAACAGTGAGGATGATGATGAATTAACTACATCATTGTCTCTTAGGTCACCGATGCCGCCGTCAACGCTATTCCGTCAAGAACACGAACAAAATCCATGACTGCTGAAATGGAAAATCTGAATCCTCAAAATGACCCCGGTTTGTGGCCTAAAACAATTGCTGATGTAGATCAAACTGAGATTGTATTAAAAGGTCCAATTCGGGTTAAAGTTGATTTATTTCCCGTAAATGATAATGGACGGCGATTCAGCGAATATCATTATAATAAGATATTAGGTAACGGTGAAAAGCTTGACAGGCGCTGGATGATTTATTCACAAACAAAGGATGCCGTTTACTGCTTTCCGTGTCGAATATTCGGGCTAGAAAATACTAAGATTGGATCAAGTGAAGGAGTGTATGATTGGAAACACTTGGGCGATTACCTAAAGTCTCACGAATCTAGTCGACAGCACAAAAATTGTATGTTGAAATGGTTTAATTTAGAGAATGGTTTAAAAAGCTGTTCTACTATTGACTTCTTGGCCCAGCCACAAATTGAACAAGATAGGCAACGTTGGAGAGATATTTTAGAACGATTGCTCGCAATTGTAAATTTTTTAGCATCTCACAATTTGGCATTCAGGGGTCATAAAGAGAAATTAAAATCTGACTCAGATTCAAGTGAGACAAGCGGCAACTTTATAGATTTAGTAAAGTTAATAGCCCGATTTGATCCCGTGATGAGACTTCACCTAAAACAAGTAAAGGATAAGACGATTAATGACCACTATATAGAAAAAAATACTCAAAATGAGCTCATACAATTAATGGTAAGTCACGTGAAGAACCAAATTGTTGAAAAAATAATAAATATTACTCGATTATTCTTGATTGTACTCGCGATGTTTCTCGTGTTGAGCAACTTTCAATTATTATAAGATTTTTTGATACAAATACAGCTGAAATTGAAGAACATTTAATTGGTTTCTTAGCTGTCGAAAAAAACACAGCTGAAAGTTTGACTAATTACCTAATCACAGAATTAGAACAGTTAGGTATATCATTGCTAAACTGCAGAGGCCAAGGATATGATAATGGTGCCAATATGCGTGGTGAAAAAAGTGGTGTACAAAAACGTATTCTTGAAATTAATCCACTTGCTTATTTTTTACCTTGCGGGAGTCATAGCTGGAATCTCATCCTAGGAGATGCAGCATCGTCTTGTGTCCAAGCGAAATCTTTTTTTGGTTTGCTACACTCAACTAGGTTGTACATTCTGTTGGCCGGCTCAAGTCAGAGGTGGGCTATTTTAAATGCTCATGTAAAATCGTTATCGCTAAAACCACTTTCTGAAACTAGGTGGGAGTGCAGGGTAGCATCGGTGAAGGCCGTTAAATACCAAATAAGCGATATATGTGATGCTTTAAAGGATTTAGCAGAAAATACAACAGATTGTCAGTTGGTCAGTGAATGCCATTCTATAGAAAAGGAAATAACTACCTACGAATTTGTAGTTTCACTAGTGATATGGTATGATATTCTAACAAAGATAAATGTTATAAGTAAAATGTGGCAAAACGGACACAAGCACTTAGATGTGGCTATACAACACCAAGACAGATTCACAAATTGGCTCGATAATTATCGTGAAAATGGTTTTCAGTCATCCCTTGTTATTGAAAGATAGTTCAAAGAAGTCAGAAGAAGACGTAAAAAAAGGCATTTTGATTATGAAGGGGAAGATGAAGCTCATGAATTGAATGCGGAAGAAATTTTCAAAATAAACTATTTTTATGTCATTGTCGACAATGTGCGAGCAAGCTGCCATCCTAGGTTTGAGGCTCTTAAACATCATGAAAGCATATTTGGTTTCATGTATAATATAAAAAGATTGAAGGAAATTAGTGATAATAAAATTTTGAAGCAATGCAGCGACTTGCAAATATCTATGACAGTAGGAGACTCATGTGATATTGATGGACATGAATTGTACGAAGAACTCAATATGTTTATCCATGTGTATGACGGAAACGACGATATTATCTCGGTGCTGAAATACATAATAAAAAAATTAATTGAAGTTTACCCCACTATCGAAATAGTCCTGAGAATTATTGCTACCACACCTGTTACAGTTGCGTCTGCTGATAGGAGTTTCTCGAGACTTAAAATTATTAAAACAAACATATTTGAGGAATTCGATGACACAAGATCGGCTTTCAGCCTTTGCTATTCTTTCAATCGAAAATGACGTAGCTCATTCGTTAGATTATTGTGCTTTAATTAAAGATTTTAGTGTTAGGAAAAGCCGCAAACATCAATTTTAAAAGTTATCATCTCTGCATTTGTTAATTTTGTAAAATATTTTAAAACTCAAATTTTATTTATTTATATAACCTTAGTATTTCTCTTCAAACATGACAAATACCTAAACCAAACAACCAGACCTACTTTCGCATTACATACTCACGAAGGACAAAGGGCCTCGCAAAGACCTGCCGCCCGGAGCCTCGCAATGGGTAAGGCCGCCTCTGTGGAGAGATCTAAAAAGCATGCATATACGGGTGTACGTCGCTTTGTGTAATATTCAACAGTGTGCTTTAGGGCTAAGATAGCATTCTCAGTAGACAATTCAGACCGAAACCCAAACTGTGCATCGTGCAACTCAATATAACTTTCCATCTGTGTATCCAACAGGCTGTCAAGTATTTTAGCCATAATTGTTGCCAAAGATATAGGTCGATAATTACACTTATCTCCTACGTCACCTGTTTTGTTCTTAATTATAGGCACAACTATTGTCCGCATAAGGTCGTGAGGCAAATACGAATGACAGAGACATGAAGAGAAGAACGTAGCGAGTAATCGAGGCAGGTGAGGTCCGGCATGCTGCAGGTGCTCGATGCTGAGAGAATCATGGCCGGGAGATTTCCCTCTAGTCATATTTTTAATGGCAGTTGCCACTTGTTCAGGTGTAAAACGAATGCAGTCATGACTGCCATGATAGCTCTCATCTCCGGGCACCGGCTGCGATGGACCTAGCAACGACTCTATTTTAAAATGCTCTGCAAACATATTAGCTATGCTAATAGGTTCGTTTACACCTCCAACGCACACAGGCAGGGTAGGCTTAATATCAAGTTTGTTGGTGGCTTGCCAGAATTTTTTGAAATTATTTGCTTTACGATGTGATGCTATGATATCGAGTTGAATTTGCTCTTGATGGTTCTGACACCATTTTAGTTTGCTCTTAAATATTTTACGTGTTATGCACATATCGTCATATATAAGCCCACTAGTTGGTTTGTTATGCCACAACCATAAGCGATATTTAAACCTAGCCATCGCATGTACTTCCCTCACATGTCTGTTCCAACCTACAATACGACCACTATGCTTATAACATCTATTATCATCATAACTCTGTATAGCGGCTTCAGATAAAATAGTAACAATATTGTTTTACATTTCATATGGTATAGAAATACAATTAATTACTATATCAAATTAATATTTTGTACAGAGAAATGCGATACAGACGGAACTTACTTTTCTAATTTAAATTGTACCTAGATCCGGGAGTTATACAAAATGTAAAATGGTTTCTAAATTTTAGAAACAAAATTGTATTTCATTATGGAATATTCTAAGCCACTTAAAATATACTATAAAATATTCTTCGACCTTAAAAAAATGATATGTAATAAATCACATAATTTACTTTTCATTACACATTGAAATCAAAATAATCACGCTTAAATAATAAGGATATGAATATACTTGTACAAGTAACACTTGCTTTGTGTTAATAGTTTTCCATCTATAAAATGAGTAATGGTAAAAGATTTAAGACTATAGTTATTATATTTTTAATTTTATGAAATTGCAATTTTAAATGAGAATTTAAGATTACTCATCTGACATTTCAAAATATGTATAATACAAAATATAATTTGCGTTTTATACAGTAATTATTTAGTAGATACATCAAACATATATTTCACATTGTTCTCTATTGTTTTTTGGTTTCCTTGAAATTAACAATTTTCCTGTTTTCTTATAGATAAAAAACAAATAATTCAGTCCTAAAACTGATCAATTGAATAAATTTTTCGATAATTTTTTAGGAACATAATTAATTGATAATTATGTTCTTATTTGGTTTGCTCCACGGTTGGTTTGATAATGTTATTAAATTCCCTTCGTGAATACCACTGTGTACTTCAATTTATATTCTCTCAACCATCGATCACTAATAAAAAACTAGATACACAATCAGTGACAAAAAATGGCATAACCGAATGTGCACCCAGTCGAACATATGGGTGCACATTTAATCTACTAGTACTCGAATGTTCCGACGGTAAACATGCCTCAGTACTCGTTTAAAAAGTGTAAAAAGCACACATCCAGGACGCTAAAAATGGGTGGAATTTCATATTTTCGGTAAATATTAATATTAACATTATTTAATTGTTATAACTGTATGGTAAATACTGATATTTTGTCAAGAAATCATCGAAAAAGTATTTTTTAAATTAAGTCGTAATAAAATAAGTCGTCATTGTTCGAGGTATATGCGTTGATTCTGTTCCATTTGTGGAAACGCTATTGTTTATTTTTTATTTATTTTTTTTGTTATTAATGTATGATTGTATTTTTTTTTGTTTAATGAGAGTTCTTTACTGAATATAAAATAAGTTAATATACGCGTTAAAATCCGTAAAACTAGTTTCATTTAAATTTGAAGTGAACGCGTAAATATAAGAAATTATTATAATTATTCAGTCTTATCCGTTTTTAAAACATCTGTAAATATGAACATTACGTCAAAATTTGGACAATAATGTTCTTAGATTTTGCAAGAATTTTCTGTACTTATTTTTTATATTTAGTAACTATTATATTTAGATTTAACTTGTTTGTCAAGCAATATCTTTAAATTTTTCACCCAAGATAAAGAATAAATAAATAATTATGACTGTTTCAATTATTTTCATTACTAAATGAATGTGGTGCCCTATACAAAAGCATATTTACATTCAGGTAATAATATAACCATTACACATATACACCATAGAATAGAATAGAATATGCTTTATTAAGTAGACCAATTATTTAAAACAAGTTTAAAAAAATTGTAAAATTATAATTCAAGTAACAAAAAATATTGTGCAGTTCGACTCCACTCTCCTAGTCCAAGCGAAGAGCCTCGGTCGTAAAATTTTATTGCTTTTTGTACGTTGCTTTGTGAATACAACTTTAAGCATATCACTTAAGATTGAATTTACATTAATGTATATTTATATCAACTAGAATTACGTCAAAACATTTGGCAACAGTTTTTAGAGAACTTTTGTATGGGATTGTGCATCTAGTTTTTTATTAGTGATCGATGCTCTCAACCAATATTCTTTTTAACCTGAGGAAAAAAAGTAATCTCTGTCATCCATTTTTTAAGCTATGCTGCAGCTATATTAGTGGTTTAATTGTAGCATGAATGGTTCGGCATGACCAGGGAAGGACCACGCTTTCACAGAATACCAGCGTAAAATAGCAGCTAAACGCTGTTGGGTATCGTATGGTGAGTGTAGAACCGGTGTTATGGATCGCAGTGGACTGTATTATTGATGGGGTAGGGGGGTGTACGCTAGGGGGCAACTGCTCAAAGAAAAGATGGTACTGTCGAACTATACTGTATTCTAACTATTTACAAAATGTGGCACTATTAACTACACTATTGTACAGAGGGGAGTCTTCTTGATGGAGTCTTCTTGAGTCTTGATTTTCTTGCTGTCTTCTTCTCGTTGAGTGCCGCTTCCGAAATGAACGACGACCGTCCGGGACGCCCTTCTTATATTTCGCCGGAGAGCGTCTCAGGTCGTGCGTAGCGTCGTCCGCGATGCCGCGCGCTCATTGGTCGGCGACATCGCGTGATCTGCTGCCGGTGTGCGCGGGGCGCAACGGGGTGTGAAGGGGCGACGGGACGGCGGCCTCCTCGCTGTCCGCTACATCCTCCCCCCGGCGTAGCCTGCGAGCCTAAGCTTCTTTCGGGAGGACGGCGATCTTCCTGACGGGCCGCCGCAGCACTCCTCCCTTGGTCCGGACCTCGACGTTCCGTACCACGCCGTCTGGTCCAGGAAACGTCTTCGTTACGATGCCCCGCGGCCACACGTTCCTGGGCAGGTTGCCGTCTGCAATCACGACGAGGTCCTTTTCCTGTATTTGGCGCTGCCGAGCATCTCTGGAGTCCCCGCGCGCGACCAGCGTCGGCAGGTACTCCTTCACCCAGCGCCTCCAGTATTCGTCGGCGAGTCCTTGCGCCGCTCTCCACGCCCGACGATCCATAGATGTGCACGGCGCGGTGACTGGCAGGCCCGATGGTCCCAACAGTAGGAAGTGGTTGGGTGTCAGCGCCTCTTCATCGTCGATGTCGACCGGTACGTGCGTCAACGGTCGAGAATTTATAGTGTTTTCGGCTTCCGTCAGAAGCGTTGCCAGCGTTTCTTCTCGTGGGCTCTTCTGATGGAGAGTGGCTTCGATCGCGGCCTTCACTGAGCGCACGAGACGCTCCCATGCGCCTCCCTGGTTAGGCGCGCCCGGTGCGATGAACTTCCAATCGACGCGCCGAGTCAGCGCGTAATCCTTCAACTGTGGCGCCCACTCTTCCATTGCCCGTCGTAATTC